CGAGGAGGTCGAGATCGTGCGCGCGTCCCTCACCGACGCCGAGCTCTCCCTCCCCCAGTACGCCGCCGACAACCACGCGGCCTGAGCGGCGTATTTCGAACGCCGCCAACAGCAGCACTTGGCGTCCACCAACGGCGCGCCGGTGGTCGGCGGCCGGCAGAACAGCGAGGGACGCCACCTCTGGTGGGGCGTCCCCGGCCGCACACTCGAGGGCGTGCTCACGTACCTCGAGGGCGGCAACGACCCGCCGTTGGCGTACCCCCCGGCGAGGGTGGCCGCCCCGGCGCAGCACCGACGCGCCGGGCCATGGGCTCCAAGGAGGTTCGGCGCCTCCTCTTCTTCCTCCTCATCCCGTTCTTCTTCACACTCCTCCGGCTCTCCGGCGCTGCTCGGCGTCAAGGTCGAGCCCGCGGCGGAGACGCCGCTCGGCCGGCGCACTCGCAGCGCCGGCATCGTCATCAACGAGGGCGGCTGGCGCGCCCCCTCGTCGGCTCCTCCGCGCTTCGTCAAGCCAAAGACGGAGCCGGGGCTGGCGCCGGTGAAGGCCGAGTTCGACGACGACGACGACGCCCTCGAATGGGCGCGCCAGGACTCCATTGCGATGGAGAAGGCGCGCCGCGAGAAGGAGAAGGAGCGCCAGCGCGCCGCCCTACGCCGCTTCGAGGAGCGCCGATGCGGCCGCGAGGAAGGTGGGGTCGTCGTCTTGTGCGACAGCGACGACGACGACTACGCGCCGCCGCCTGTTCGCCATGGCGACGCCGGGGAGGGGTCCAGCAGGGGCGCCCGCGTCAAGGAGGAGAAGGCCGACGACGATGGCGGCGACGGCGGCGACGACTTCAGCCCCTTTCTTTTTTTTAGATTAGGTTCATGTAATGTTTGGCCGAATTTCGCCGAAATTTGTAATGTTTGGCCGAAATTTAACTAGTTTTTATCATAACTTCGCCGAACGGTTCTGTTTTTTTTAAGATACGCGCATGGGGGCGGCCCTGGGGGCCGACGGCTGGGGACCGACTCACCCCAGTGCTATTTTTTTCGCCGGATCACCCCCAGGCGGCGCATTTAGACGCCCCCTGGGGGGCCAACGGCTGGAGATGCCCTAAGCATGTTGGACATGGTCGCCGTGCCTGGCGCCTCTACCTCATGTGCCCTGGTGCTCCGGACAGGTTGAAGGGATCTCGGCAGAGGGGTTTCCATGGCAGCGGCAGAGGCCTCCGTAGGACTCAACGGCAGAGCCAGTGGCGGGTGGATCCATCTCGGTGGAGCGGATCTCGCGAGAGGAAAAGGACGTGGTGGAGGCAGTGGCTTCTCTGAGTTGTTGCATCCTGGACTGCGGCTGCCGATGGTGAGCGACGGCGTAGGTGTGGGCGTGGGAAATGCTGTCACAACTGGAGTCGGCGTCAAAATCCTATGAGCAGATCAATCAGGTAGGCGTCAGGGTGGAGCCGAGCTCCCTCTCGGCGTACAACGAAGAGAGACCCTTTGTGTCGACCGGGTAGCAATCCTAGGCAGAAGGATGGCAGCACGAGGAGTCCAATCAACTCTACAGCAAGGGTCCTTTCATGTCAGGGCGGCGGCCTTGGGCGGAAGGACCCGTGTCGGGGTGGACTCGTGGAGCCGGGCTCCCATGACGTTCGGTGGATGGTAGTGTGAGGCGTGCGATCGACGCTACACGATGACTATGAGTGGTTGGTCGCATGGCGCGTGATGTGGCGCTGGCAGCGGCGGTGTCCTTGTGCACGACAGATCTAGCTTCCGGCGGTGGCGCGGGTGGTTGTCGGCGGCCAAGTGGCCCCCGATCAATAATGCGGCAGGGGTGCACCGGCGTCTTCCCGGTAGCATCCACCCCTTTTCAAACAATGGACACTGGGCCAACTGCCCTGGGGTTATGGTGGTTGATGTAGGCCGGCTCATGACGGTGTGAAGTGGCAGAGGCTAGTTCTGCAATGCGACATGGCTGGTGGCCATGGTGATGGTCTTAGGTGGGCATAAAAACCACTCATCTAGTAGTGCCACTCTGGCCTAGTGTGGAGTACTAGCATACGTGGCTGTCAGAAGATCCGTTACCAAGATGGTGTTTTGAACACACTTCATGTCCGGGGTGAAAACCCTTGCTCTGGCCTTTGTTGGTCAGGCTAGGAAGCGATAAACTTGTGTCGTTATCTTGTTGAAAAAGTTATATCCGTTACAACGGCTGTAGCAGGGTGTCTATCCTTTTTTAAGGTGTTGCTACGAAAGAAGTCGACATAGTTCTAGGTGTTAGATTCATATCTTGTAATTGTGCTACTATAACGCGGTGATTCTACGCCTAGGTCCAGATGCTCCCATGTGTGAACAGTAAAATCATTTAAAATAGTAGAAAAATTCAAAAGAATCTGAATTTTTTTCTGGTGCAAGATGGTCGAATGCGTGATGTCGTGCCAATTTTGGTAGAGTTTGGAAATTCGAAGAGCTCATGGAAAAAAAATTAGGCTTGTGAGGAAGTTTGGACTAGGTAAACGAAGCTACCTGTAGGAGGTCCCGGAAGGAGTATAAACACCACACATTATTGTGCTTTCCACTTTGATTCTTCGACCCTGAACATATTTTTAATATTGATTTTTTAAGTGGTTTCTGTTAGAAAGTTGCAAACAATATGCACGGGTGTGCATGAAGAAACAAACCAAGTAGCAATTTATGCTGCTAATTATTTAGGACCTTGAATAACTTACATTTTATTTAGATTGGTTAATCAATTAAAATTTTATCGAAATCCTTGGCTTGCTTAAACACAAGAACCCGACTTAGAATTTAGTAGTAAAATTTGACATACTGATTAACTGTACTAGGAGAGCATGCAACTCTTCTGATTCACGTTTCTAGGAAAGGCAGGATGAAACTTGGTGAATTTGTAGAACTCATGCAATTTTTCTCTATGAAAGCAGCAGGGGAAACCAAAAAATAATTATGTCACTGCAAATGGTATAGGCAAGGGAAGGAAGAAACGTTTCGCTAAGAAATTTCTCCAGATAGTGTTTGTGCTTTTAACTTGTCAAAGAGCTCATTAGGCATTTGCCTTCACAAGGACAAAATAGGGTTTAAAAAGCAAGAAGATAACATTAATTCCTTGACACAAACATATTCGAAACATTATATCTGCTACACAGTTAAAAACAAAGTGCATGGAAGGAGATTGAAGAAGACACCAAGTGGCTTGACACTCAATAGACTCAGGTAAAATCTCAACCTCTCACGCACCCTCATGTGCGGCGAGTGATGAGAGAGATGTACTACACCTACTCAGCTCATACGGCAGCCTACAGGTATAACTTTGACATCTTCCACTGAGCCAGTGCTTTTAATAAGTGTAATTTATATGTCAGCTACCAACTGTATTTTGCTATGTCTGTATCCTTTATATATAACCATCAAAATGCTACTCACTTTATATATGACCGGCCGTGATTGTTCACAGTTCAACTACGTGTTCCTCTAAGATCATAGGTTGTAGCGTACAGTATCTTGTTGGGCGAGAGTGCAGATCGCAACCCGTGATCGATGATTAAATCTACGTCACTGAGATTGAAGATTGACTCTGAGCCAACAACATATAAGGAATCAACGTGTATCGACAGGAGGTGCAATATGTGTGTCGTAACATACACACACGTTATGCACTTGATAATTTATTCGAAATGAGTGGCTTCGGGAGAACATCTACCACGATTAGGTCCTCATTAATAACAAGTGTCCTCTTCTCTCCTATGCTTGCTGTGAGTTCTTCTCTTCCAGCTCTGTAGAAGATCTCGAGTAGAGCCTCGGTTCCACCCATAATTTGTTTTGCTAGATCTAGTTTTCTCCAATTCTTAGCTCTTTTTCCACATGTGTTTTCTCCATTTCCTCTTCATTGGTTCTGTTCATTGTTAGCTACAAATAGAACTCTCATTGTGCATCAAAAAGAATAATCTTTCGTGTTGACAATTTTTTCCCCATATCTATATGTTTTTATTCACATTTGTTGACTCTCCATGAAAGTATTGTACACCATAGTATAGTTCATACAACGAGCATCCTTGAGTGTTAACTACTCGTGAGAAATCCAAATATGGTGGTAGTTTGGATGTGATGGAGAGAAATGAACAAATTTGAGATTCTATTGCTACTGTCCTGTTCTTAATGGAAACGGAGTTAAAAAAACAACAGTCCTAGAAGGGTAAGCCAACATGTTGGTGCCGATTTTGGTAAGGCAACAAGTTGGTCCTAAAAATGCCAAAATTCCGTGGCTGGTGGGATATCGATGGGAGCGAGTCCGTCTAACAATTCTTTCCTGCCGATGCAGAGAGAATCGCAACTTGGCAAGCCTTGTCTTGACTGGTTCAGGAGGAATGGTGTAAATGTGTTTGTCTAGGGGCTGCGGTGTACACACTGGAGTCAAACACTACAATCTGTCTGGATCGCCCTCCTACAGAGAAGGCCACCAGTCACCATGGCACGAATTCTTGCTGAGTTGGGTCGGCAGAGGACTACAAATATATCAAATCCTCTCCAGAAAGAAAATATAAACCCAGCGTCAGTTTACCCCTTTTATCCGACATAAAACCAGCAACCAAATATATAAACTAGTTGAATTCAGAGAATGATGTCAATAGGTTGGGCCTGATTGGCCTTGCTTCTTTTTTATCTATATATTTAGGTCCTTTTCATTTGCAGGATCCGTAAAATGCAAAATAGAAAACCCACAAGAATAGGACGTCATGGCATTTGGAATCTCACATAAATCAGTAATAGTTGTTTGGTTTCACCACACGAAGAACACATGATTTCTCTATACAAATTGAATGGATGAGGTAGCTGTCATAGATCAAAGAGGCCCTTAAGGTTCAGTGCGACCAGCACTCCAACACAATGCACACTGCAGACTTTAGGATACGTTGGTGGTAAGACTTAACAGCTATCAATGTTAAGACAGACACGGATGAAAGTCGGAATTTCTTACATGGTATACAAGTCAATATATATGTGCATTATATCAGTGGCCGGCTCGAGTCCACCTTCCTCAGGCTCGATCCAGCAAACCTTCTTAACGCAAACTTCCAACATCCCTGCTAACCAATAGAAAAAGGTTCCTCAGAGGTTTCAAAAGGCCAGTAACAGCAGAGAAAACCTTTCTTTAGATGGCTTCGAGAATGTGCATTTGATAACCGGGTGGGTGGTTTCTACCAGATATTGGGTTTTGAAATATTGCTTTTTCAGTTGTCTGGGTCTTGTTTATCAGACAAAAAAGGAGCATTAAAACTATGTGATGACTCATCCACAGTGAATTATTTCCACAGAAGAACACATGGAAATTCATGACTTACCGATTTAAGTAAATATTTCATGTAATTATAAATATGCATGAATTTCATGTGCTTGCGACATGTTCCTTTTAATTTGTATTAATCGAGTAGTAACTCTGGAATATTTTGATCCTAATTATTTGAGTCATGACATTGGAGTGTCTACAGTCAGTATGCCATTACTAGTCAATAGGTGCATTGCATGTGCGCAATCACTAGCGGTATTATGATGGGCAACAGTTTTTTTATTAAAATTCTGTTTAGTTAAAGCAGGGTTGGTACCTTGCGATCATCCCGGTATTTGACCGAGGGGTCGATGATGTAGTTCTTTATAAGTCTGCAAAGCTCTGCAGGCTTTTCACGGTTTATGGCATGGCCAGCATCCTTGACGATGGTTAATTCCGATGTATCCCCCAAATGTCTGAATTTACACCAATGTTAATTGCATTGAGATAAAAGGCTTGCATATGATAAAAGTTTAAGTTGTAACTAGACAAACCTTTTCAACCGCAAGCCAAGTTCTAATGGGAAAACCCTGTCTTGCTCTCCCCAAATTATCAAGGTTTGCTGCCACATTCACATAGTATGTGAAACATATATTATTAAAATGTTAAGTAAAATAATAAATGAAGAACAAAAAACATGAAAACAGGCATCAAGTTCTGTACTTCCATTGAACAACACAAGATATAAAATGTGAATCAATACCTGGTTAATTTTGGGAAGGTCCGAAAGCTTCCTACCACTGATCAAGGCATATAACAACTCAGTCTTTTCTTTCACATTTTCAGTACACATAACCTGCCAACATGGAATGTGCAGCACAGCAGAATTAAATAAGTGTAAAAGCACTCACAAAAAGATGTGTAAACAAGTAAGTAAATATTGTATGCATGTGATTTCCAAAACTCAACCAATACAACCATGCAACAGAATTACAGCAAGAAGTGCAGTAGGAACTACGAAGTGAATCTAAGAAACTTTGTAGATGTTCTTTACATTTAAAATGTCGCACTTGAACGTTTCAACATTAATTATTTAGGCAAGCTACTGAACCTTTTCATGTTCTTATTCTAACATATACCTTGGATCTATGATGTTTTAAGGCTTGGTTCTGTGAGTTTCATTTCTCATTGTGACACAAGATCGATATAATGATGGGTCTAAGACTGCCACATCAGTTTCATTTAGGATTAATGTCGTTGTCTCTCTTAATTGCTTGGTGTACGTAGGGCTTAATAGTTAGTTTGATAGTATTCTACAAGACAATCAATTGGCAACCTAGATATCGGAGTATCGTCTCAAAATTGTTGTTTATTACTTGCTTATCTAAAGAATTGACACATGGTATTTGACCAAAGATATTTGTATTGTCATCTTTCCTTCAGTTAATTATCTGTATGTGTGATAACTGATAACTGATGAGGTTCCGTTCCAATGAGTGGGCCCTTACCAGTGGCTAGTGGGTAAAATCATAGAGTAACTAAACAAGTTTGTGAAATTCAACTAAGGAGATTAAAAATCATGGAAGGCCGTACTGATATTTTCTATGCACCATTGATCTTAGATCTTAACTGCTACATCCGATCATTTTCACTTGACATCCAAGAATCTTTGTTGTCAAACTTTCAGAACTTCACCACCAGTATATTTACAAAAACGGCATGAAGTAGCATCTTGAAGACTTAGAAGACATGGAGTATTAGCGAAGAGAAATGTATTATTTATTTTTATGAAGGCAAGGCTGGGCAACTCATGGATTCTTATGTCCCATACCCCCTTTATGTGGCCTAAAAGTTATATCTCTGGGCTGTGATATTTAGCAGCAGAGACCGCTTCCTGTATCCGTGCTAAAACAATGTGTGTTTCTGTTTTCGTTTTCCATTAGGCTGGGAAAAGTGTGGGGGAGAATCATTTGATGTACTATGAATTAGAAAAACCTAAGCACCATATTCATATCCTAAGGAGCTTACACCAACTAATTGCTGAATTCATCTAACTGTCAAACGTTCCAACAAACTGAGATCACATCGCATTCAACAATTCAACCAATATAGGTACGTCAATGTGACTTATTTTTTCTATGTCATTTGATTTATAGAGCCGCAGGTAGTAATCATGGATTATTTCACAAGTTCTAAGCTTCAGCACCTGAGTTGATCATCGGTGAACAATCTCAATCGCGCAACAATGCAGCTAATTTAGTTGTCAGGTCACTGAGTTTTACCTACCCTGATGTAGTCCCTGATGAAGCAGGACGGCATGAACTTTGGTGGTTTGCAGAAGGTGAGCTCCACCAACCTCCTCAGATCCTCCGGCCGCTGCGGCAGCAGCAGGCTGGCCGCCTCCGAGATGTCGTCCACGGCGAACAGCCCGGACGCCAGGTCGGCCTCCTCCAGGCACACACCCGCAGCGACGAGCACGAGCCGCTCCACCACGGCGGGGAAGGCGTGGGCGAGGTGATAGGCGACGAAGCCGCCGTAGCTGACGCCGACGACGCTGTACCTCTGCGGCACGTCGGGGAGGGCGGCCATGGCGGCTGCGACGGAGGCGGCCTGGTAGGCGGGGGATCTGTCGGCGGTGGGGGAGGCGGAGTTGCCGAAGAAGACGAGGTCCGGCACGAAAGGGGCGAGGCCGGCGGCGATGAGCGGGCGGAGGAAGGGAGCCCACTGCCAGGTGGCGTTGGCGCCGAAGCCGTGGAGGAGGAGGACGGGGTGGAGCGCCGGGTCGGGGCGCGGGAGCCAGAAGTGGACGACGGCGCCGTCGGGGAGCGGCACGACGGCCTGGCGGAAGCCGGCGGAGCGGAAGGCGCGGGCGTAGCAGCGGTCCCGCGCGAGCGTGGGGCTCAGCCGGTGCTTCCACCGCCGCCGTCCGCCGGCCGGCGGTGGTGGCGCGGGCATGCCGGTCGCCGGAGGCCGGGGATCTGCCGTATCGGCTGGTGGACTGAGTCTGCTGGGTCTGTTTGGGGAACCTGACAGCATAACCTCGTGCGGGCAACAACTTCCATTGCACGTTTTTTTGAGGGAATTCATTTCTTTTACACGATTATTACAGCATCTTCTCACAATTTTCCTGCCAATGTGCAAAATTGGAAGAAAAAACGTCGAATCACTTGGATTAAGAGGCAGGGCCGGCCCATAGATATACGGGGCCCAGGGGCAAGACAAAAATAAGGGGGCCTTGTTTACTTAAAAGCTCAAAATATTTTCTATTTCTACTAAAATACCATCATTTCTTACAGGACTATTTCTCAACTGTTATTTGTTAAGGGGCCCTTGCCTTACCATCCATACTATCCCAATGTCATGGATCGAAAATATCAACAGTTAGTGGTTGTTGTTTATTGAACCTCGATGATTCAGAATTTGGTGAATGAGTTACTTTTTCATGCACAGTGGAACTATTATTATTCTCGTTCATATCATGATCAGTAGCATCTGTATTCTCAGTTGGTTGTTGCCAATTCCACGGGATTTCTAGGAGAACTACTAGTTGTGAAAAAATTTGCAAGTGACCCTTTTTGGGATTTTACCTCTTCATCTATTTGCTTTTTTCTCTTCCTTTTGTTACTACCAGATAGAACTTTCTAAAGGAGATGTTACTAAAGAAGAACAAGCAGTATAAAATGATTAAACAAGGAACAAAAGCACCTGAATGTGAATTGATGTGGATGTAAGTCGCCAGATCAGCAGATCCGCAGGTTGCAGTAGACAACACGAACGAGAAGATGACACCATGAACTGAATAACCCCCCCTTTTCCAGTTCTCCACCACACTTGGATCTACCGAAGAGCAGAACTGCATAAGAAGGCCTATGCAGGGGAGCAGGGCAGGCAGATGTGGAATCTCTCAAAGGACAATGAAGAGGACAGACGGGATTAGGGACAGGAAGAGAAGAACACACGTATTGTCTCTCCAATGTCCAGCTGATGGGGAACGAGCAGAACATCAAGAAGGGAAGGAGAGCCGATTGGGGAGCAGATTTGCGTCTTTAGTCTCCATTAATGGCCAGCGGCGACCTTGGAATCGGAGACGGTGATGCACGGGAACAGCGGCACAGTTATGGGAGTCTGGGATTTGGGGAGAGAACGAGGAGTCGAGGAGCACGGGATGACGGGAAGATGTTGAATCTTCTCGTTGTTTTTGTTGGGCTTCGTGTTGGGGAACGTAGCAGAAATTCAAAATTTTCCTACGTGTCACCAAGATCTATCCATGGAGAGACCAGCAACAAGGGGAAGGAGAGTGCATCTACATACCCTTGTAGATCGCTAAGCACGGAAGCATTCAAGAGAACGGGGTTGATGGAGTCGTACTCGTCGTGATCCAAATCACCGATGATCCTAGTGCTGAACGGACGGTACCTCTGTGTTCAACACACGTACAGCTCGGTGACGTCTCCCATGCCTTGATCCAGCAAGGAGAGAGGGAGAGGTTGAGGAAGACTCCATCCAGCAGCAGCACAACGGCGTGGTGGTGGTGGAGGAGCGTGGTGATCCAGCGGAGCTTCGCCAAGCACCGCGATATATGAGGAGGGAGAGAGGTAGGGCTGCGCCAGCAAGAGGAAAGGAACTCGTGTGTATTGGGCAGCCCAAACCTCAACTATATATAGGGGGAGGGGAGGGGCTGCGCCCCCACCTAGGGTTCCCTCCCTAGGGGTGGCGGCAGCCCCCTAGATCCCATCTAGGGGCGGCCAAGGGGAGGGGAGAGGGGGAGGCGCACCAGGGTGGGCCTTAGGGCCCATCTTCCCTAGGGTTTGCCCCCTTCCCCTCTTCCTTGCGCCTTGGGCCTTGGTGGGGGGGCGCACCAGCCCACCTGGGGCTGGTCCCCTCCCACACTTGGCCCATGCAGCCCTCCGGGGCTGGTGGCCCCACTTGGTGGACCCCCGAGACCCTCCCGGTGACCCCGGTACGTTACCGATAAACCCCGAAACTTTTCCGGTGACCAAAACAGGACTTCCCATATATATAAATTTTTACCTCCGGACCATTTCGGAACTCCTCGTGACGTCCGGGATCTCATCCAGGACTCCGAACAACATTCGGTAACCACATACAAACTTCCTTTATAACCCTAGCGTCATCGAACCTTAAGTGTGTAGACCCTACGGGTTCGGGAGACATGCAGACATGACCGAGATGACTCCCCGGTCAATAACCAACAGCGGGATCTGGATACCCATGTTGGCTCCCACATGTTCCACGATGATCTCATCGGATGAACCACGATGTCAAGGACTTAATCAATCCCGTATGAAATTCCCTTTGTCCATCGGTACGATACTTGCCCGAGATTCGATCGTCGGTATCTCGATACCTTGTTCAATCTCGTTACCGGCAAGTCTCTTTACTCGTTCCGTAACACATCATCACACCTCTCCGTTTACACGGAGTGACAAATCCCAGTCTCGATTCGTGCCAACCCAACAGACACTTTCGGAGATACCTGTAGTGTACCTTTATAGCCACCCAGTTACGTTGTGACGTTTGGCACACCCAAAGCACTCCTACGGTATCCGGGAGTTGCACAATCTCATGGTCTAAGGAAATGATACTTGACATTAGAAAAGCTTTAGCATACGAACTACATGATCTTGTGCTAGGCTTAGGATTGGGTCTTGTCCATCACATCATTCTATGATCCTGTTATCAACGACATCCAATGTCCATGGTCAGGAAACCGTAACCATCTATTGATCAACGAGCTAGTCAACTAGAGGCTTACTAGGGACATGGTGTTGTCTATGTATCCACACAAGTATCTAAGTTTCCTATCAATACAATTCTAGCATGGATAATAAACGATTATCATGAACAAGGAAATATAATAATAACCAATTTATTATTGCCTCTAGGGCATATTTCCAACACTTCGTACGCACTATAGATGAAATACTAGCTGGGCTGGGGCCCCTGCCTTCTGGGGGCCCAGGGCGGGCGCCCCGTTTGCCCGGCCTATGGCCCGGGCCTGTTAAGAGGGCGCTGCTACGGATTAGCCGGATGATTTCTCCGCCTGAAGAACTGTCCGATCCTTCATCGCGCAGCTGTTTGATTGACAGTGAAGTAACAACATGAGTTGCCTCGAAAGCAGCGCCGCCCGAATTCGCAAGCAGAAGCCGCACCCTCCCTCGTCAGTGGAGTTGGGCGTTCGGCAGCAAACACGGCAACGTGGTGATCCGCCATTGCAGCGCCAAAACTTACGCGGTGGTGCTCCAACACAGCTCCAGGCATGCTTCATTACTACGCCAACATCGGCGCGGTGGTGCTCCAAAGCAACTCTGGCCATGATTCATTGCTGCGCCAACACTAACGCGGTGGTGCTCCAAGGCAGCTCCAGTCATGCTTCATTACTACGCCAACATCGGCGCGGTGGTGCTCCAACGCAACTCCGACCATGCTTCATTGCAGCCTCGACACCGGCACTGCAGTGCTCCAATGGAGCTCCGGCCATGCTTCATTACTGCACCAACACTGGCACGGTGGTCCTCCAACGCAGCTTCGGCCATGCTTCATTATTGCGCCAACACCGGCACAGTGGTGCTCCAACGCAGCATCGGCCATGCTTCATTACTGCGCCAACACCAGCGCGGCGGTGCTCCAACGCATCGCCGGCGGCCCGTCGCAGCTCCGGCCATGCTTTATTGCAGCCTTGACACCGGCGCGGCGGTGCTCCAACGCATCGCCGGCGG